TTACTAATCCTCCTCTTTTCCAGTATCTCGTGTGCAATCCATTTTCCTTCTATTTTTACTAGTGCAACTTTGTGTTGGTATCAGTTTTAGAAATTGAATTTTCCCTATTTTTGTGCAATTATATTGTAATTCGGTTTTTACACTTTCACCCACTTAAAAAAATAAGTTTTTATTTGCCTGTACCATTACCATTACGATAAGTGTTACTATCGTTTTAATCTTTAAAGAACCCTACGGTAACCACACTAACTTTGAATCTACACCCACTTAACATCAAACCTTATCTTTTTACCTTTATATATAATAATATCTTAGGAGAAAAGCTCCTTTCCTCTCTCTCACTACTGTGAGGCATTGGTAATATCTGTCTTGCTTAACCATGCCTTACTGCCTGCTGTGATAATAGCTAGCATGGTGTCGTCAATTTTGGCGTAATGCAGTGAAAACTCCTCAGCGGGTATGAGAGAGTTGATGCTGGGAGTGGAAGAAGAATGAGGTGCAGAGAGGTCAATGATCAAACGTTTTATATTAGAGTATTTGTGAATGGCTACCCCGATGGGGTTGGTACGCCAGGATGAAAAAGGTGAAGACATGAAAGGGTCGATCATGAAACCAGCCTTGATTTCAGTGTACAGAAGGTGGTCCACTGTAAGCGGGTCATTGGATGCTGATAATAGGTTAGGGCATTCGAGTGTACCTGTAGGGATGGCAATGATGGCCGCGTGAAACCCCTGTGAGAAACCCGTCACCAGATATTCTACCAAATGCCTAGCTGGGTGTGAATGCAGATAGTAAGCCATGATGTCAAAGTTAACTTGGGTGACAGTCGGGCCGGGCACATAGTCTATGTGTGAGCTCTGAAGCAGATGGAGCAACAGCCTGCATGCACTGAAACTGCATGCCCCGGCATTAAAGTTATTGCACAACTGCACCTTGCCCAGGAATGAAATGGGTCTGCCCAGCTTGTCTCTCTGCCCGCCTTCTTGTCTTGTGTGTGGGGTGAAGGAGTGGTGTGAAGTGGAAGTGGAAGGTTCTGCTTCACAAGGGCACAAGTCGGTGGAGTGGGAAGTGGAACTACAGGAGGGACAGGATGGGGGCCTCAAACTGGCAAAGTGATGGCAAAAAAGTTCTGTGTACATCTGGCACCAGTCAATACTTATGTTAAATTGTGCCAGATGAGTAGCTGCTTTGGCCAACACTGATTTATTCTAGTCATAGAATGAGGATCCTCCGTACTTGATGCCTAAGTTGACTATCTTGTGCATATACCTCTTCCCTCCTATGTGGGTACACCATGCAGATGACGTCACGATAAATGACAAAAGCGATAACAAACTGGGGGATGGAAAGTTTTTAGTTAAGTCGTGGATCTCTGGCTTTTAAGACCACTGAAATGTCTCCGTATTTATAAGCTCTATTCTCTAGGATGTCTTGAGAGGCTATGAGTAATGACACTAGGTTTATGTCCTTTCCACCCAGAATTTCCTTTTTTATGGACCCTGGAACAGAGTGAGCCAGTGAGACATAAAGGGTAGTGATAGTGGCTGGTGGAGGAAGGGGAAGGAGGGATGGATTCTTTTGACATTCTGAAATAGGAATAATGATTTGAATAAGTAGGGTGTTGTGAAGGGGGGAATGAGACCTTCGTAGAACTGGCCTGCTAACTAGTGCCGAGGCAAAGAATTTAACTAGAACCAAGTGATAGGTGAGGCACTGCTAATGCCAAGTGACGGTGAGAGGCTCTACCTATGATTTTGGCTGAGGGAATTCGTTGCCATATGAATCAGGAGGTGGGATGTTGGCCTCTCGGTGATCGTAAGAGATTCAAAACGTGTTGCCGTGACTTGGGGATCCCTAGCTGAGCCCTAAAGAAGGGTGACAAGGTGGCTAACTATGATTTTGGCCGTGGGGCTGAGCCTCCGTGTTGAGGTGGGAAGTAGACCTCGCGGGACTGGTGTATTTACTTAGGGTTGCTAAGGCCAGCACCTAACCCTAAATGCCAGTTCTCTAATCTGATGGAGCTTGTCTCCTTGAATGATGTACTTGAACGTATGTAGATACTAACCTTGAGTATTAGTCCTGTCTCTTTGTGCGAGACACAGGAAGTCTTCAATATATACTTGCTTCTGAAGGGAACAGGTCCAGCCACATTATCTTAGGGGTAAGATAGATGCTAGTGGGCCTGAGGCGAGCCACTGTAACGTAAGAGCCTGTGTAAGATGAGGGACCTGAACGTTGCTCCATAATTACCGTGTTTCTCCGAAAATAAGACCGGGTCTTATATTAATTTTAGTCACAAAAAACACACTAGGGCTTATTTTCAGGGTAGGGCTTATTTATTTACGGTACCGGTATGCACATTGAACAACATTTAAACAACATTTAAACAACTTTACTTCAAATACCGGTACAGTCATCTTCATTTTCCTTTGAACCATTGGTCCTGATCTCTCATTTACAGCAATATATGGTACAGTAGCTCTCCCTACCGTAAACAACATTTATTCAATTACAATCATGTCATCTTCTTCTGGAATATCATCATAACTCTCCAAACCCTGATTGCCAGCCTGAATTTCTTGCATCTTGCACTGAGGCTAGTGGTGTTGTGGAGAGAGGCACTGAGGCTAGTGGTGTTGTGGAGAGAGGCACTGAGGCTAGTAGTGTTGTGGTGAGAGGCACTGAGGCTAGTGGTGTTGTGGAGACCGGCTTGGAGACTATGGTGAGGCCTAATAGAAAGCAGTTGTTGTTGGGTGATTCCATTATAAGAGTTGTGGAGATGGACAATGGTGGTCTTGTGAGGTGTCTTCCCGGAGCTACTGCTCACAGAGACAGGAGACGTATCTGTAATATTGTTAAGCAAGCAAAGCAGGAAGGGGAATTGGATGTACTTGTCCATCTAGGGACAAATGACTTGGCTTACAATGAGGTTTCAGAGGTTAAGGAAGTTTTTAGTGTTTTTGCCAATGATATACGGCAGGTTGCTTCCACACTGTCATTCTCTGAAGTTCTGCCTGTGCATAACACTC